GTCTCAGGATGTCTAGAGCAATCATAAAATGGTGGAGAAAAAAATGTATACGTCCAAATTGTCAGAGATAAAGGGATTATGACAAGCTGGATAATCAACTTGATTAGCTTAAGAACCACCTAGGGGGTTAGCACAACATACTTCTGGCTATATCTGTGGGGTTATGGAGGCATGACCTTGGCCCCTTTCTTCTGACACTGTTTCTCTGAACTGCATCCTGGCCACCACGAACTAAGCAGCTTTGATGCACTAGCCCCTTCCACCGTGATGTTCCTGCCTTGGAGCCAGTGGACTACAGACTGAATCCCCTGAAACCATGAGCCAAATAAACCTCTCGCTTTTTAAGTTATGGGTGTCAGATATTTTGTCCCAGCAACAAGAAAGCTGACTAATAATGAAAACAATTTTTTAAAAGTCAAGTTTAGAAGACAAAGGAGAAATAAAAGAAGCAAAGAAAAGTCAGGATAAATAGCATAAAATAAGATGGCAGTTAACCAAATATATATAAAATTACAGTAAATGTAAACATTAAACTCAACAGTTAAAAGGACAGGAATGGCTGAAGGTATATAACTCAGACTAAAGGTTTGCTACCTATAGGCTCTCACTGAAGGCACTGTTCAAAGTGAACAAAATCCAACACAAAAGCAAAGAAAAAGAATACAGAAGAAGCACTGAACAAAGAGCTTGGTAAATATATACAGGAAAATAATTATGAACTCTGACTTATAACCCTGCTGTTCATGCACGTCTTGCAGCTCACTTCTGTGGAACTCGAGAAGCAAGTAACGCGGTGCTGCTAGGGTGTCTGCTTCATAGGCTCCTTACTGGATAAGTGTTTGGCTTTGAAGCTTGTCCTCCGATTCATTAGTTTTCTACCCTGTGGTGCATCAGGATTTTTTGTAGAACTCCACACTGAGCTCCAAGCTTTCATGATTTTTTTTTTTTTTGCTTCACTCTACATAAAAAAGAAAGATGCCACATTGCTTTGTGGTAGCTTTTGTCTGATAAACTGTTCTCATAGGCTTCTAGATAATGCATTTTAAATCTGCCTGAAGATGCATTTCATAGCACGCACTATGCAATTATCTTAACGAATTTTCTAATGTCCCTCCAGTACTACATGAATCATCACTGTTAAAATGAATTTTCTTTTTGGTCTGGCAGTCCAGGAAGAGTAGCTAGTCCGTGACATAATTGGAACGCAAGTAATGCAGACAGCATCTGGGGGTAACCCACACTAACTTGCACAATGTCTCAGACAACTTCCTGCCTCACCAGTGAGCGGGAAGCACCTAGTCAGCTACCCTCCTCACCAACCTCAGTGGAACCCCTGAAACTCTGTTACTGTGTGAAGATCTTGTCTTCTCTCCCCACTCCATTCCCCAGGGAAATGTTTTTGACCGCAAATAATGATCACAGAGGGACGATAGTTTTCCTGTCCCACTATGTTGTGTCAGAATGCATACTGAAACAGTAGAGGGTGTTGGCACAAAGGGCGTTATTGACAATTGGTTTCCACATCATTCTGTCAATGTGATTCCTTACCATTTGTTTGTAATAGAAGTCTCTAGTATTTGGCCTCTAGTCCATATGGCTTGTGCCTGGAAGGCCTCTTCTCGGGGGGTCTCAGTAGTGTGGGAGCTGGTTTTCTATTTCTGTCTGCCCGGTACCCTTCCTGCCTCTTCAACTGGACTCACTGTAGAGCCCATGACATCCCACAGGAGTGGAGTGGAGCACCTGGGCCAGATGCAGCTTATCCCTGGCACCATAGGGTGGCAGTACAGTGAAACCTTTGGATGAGTGGCCTGTGGTCTCTCAGGAACCCTGTGGCTTCAGGTTACTTTATCTCCCTGTGCTCCCATACTCCAGCCACTAGGATACAGGAAATAAGCTGCACATAGATGTGTGTAACTTTGCAGGCAGTGGAATATTACCCAGCATGCAAAAGAAATGGGCTGCTACCCATGAATGACATGGAGGAACATCAGGTGTGTGCAAGAAGGTGATCTAAGATTCTAACTACAGGACCTTCTGGAAAAGGCAAAAGCCTAGCAGCAGTAAGAGATCTGTTTGCCAGGGTTATGAGGCAGGCAGGGATGAATAGCAGGACCTGAGATTTTGGAGCTGTCAGAACTGTTCTGCACAACACTGTACTGGTGGATTCATGGCATTCGGTTTTGTTCAGACCTATGGACTGCACAGCACTAAGAGAATCCGATGTAACCATGGACTCAGGGCCAGTGGTGACCAGTGCAGGCCCATCGGTCATAATGAATACATCGCTCTGCTGCAGGGTATGGATCATACTGAGGCCGGGGCAGCATGTGGAGGATGTGTGGGAAACTTTTGTACTTTCTTCTCAGTTTTGCTGTGAACTGAAAACTAACTATCTGAAAAATAACACACATTAAAAAAAACAGTAACCGGGCCTACTCTGTAGTTACTTATATCAACATTGAGCTATTTTTTGGGAAGAAATTAAATGATATATTAACATTGTGAAATGAAAAAGCATGGGAAATAACAGCATACTCATGTGGCTGCTGCGAAGATTAAATAAGCCATGGCACCTTGAGTTCTTAGGTGTACAGATAGGAGAAGAGTGTTCTAGACAGAGGCGGCGTGGCTATGTCCCTGGAGTCTGGGAAAGCTGTTCTGTGAATGGAGGGAGAGCCTGTAGGACCAGAGAATGGTGGGCACGGAGGAGAGGGCAGTGAGATGAGATCAGTGCGTGTAGCAGGGTCTGAGTCATGTGGCTCCCACGGCTGTGGTGTTAGTCTGTTTCTGTGCTGGTAACACCACCTGCTGCGGAAATCCCTGAAGGAGATTTACTTTGGTTCGGGAGGTTTTGGATCAAGGGGCTGCGCCTAGCAATGGCTTTCTGGCTGGCAGGGTCCCAAGGTGGAGTAGGGCACCATGTGACAAGAGACAGAGCGTGTGTGTGTGTGTGTGTGTGTGTGTGTGTGTGTGTGTGTGTGTCTGCTGCTGCCTTCCTGTTTATTTTGGCAGTACTGGGTATTGAACCCAGTGCCTTTGCACTGAGCGTCATCTGTTTGTTTGTCTGTCTGTTTTGAGACAGTCTTGCTAAATTACCCAGACTGGGCTGGAACATGTGATCCTCCAGCCTCATCCTTCCAGAGTGCTGAGATTACAGGCATGCACCACCCCACCTAACTTCTGCTTCTTCTTATGAAGCCATCAGGGTTCAATCACGGAGCCTCCATCCTACTGACTGTCAAATCTCAGTCTCCTCCAGGAATTCCACAGACTGGTTAAATTTCTGCATTCTTAATACCTCAGGGTGGGGATTAAACCACAGTGTGATTTTCAGAGGTGCAAACCCCTGTAGCCAATATGGGGTTTTACTTTGGTGACGTGTAAGGGGATCCATTGAAGTATTCTTGGCTGAAGAATGTGGGTGACTCGTGTTTCCACTCCAGGAGATGACTTTGCTTTTCTGAGGACAGAGCAAGGGTGGAATTGAGTGGACTTGGTCAGAAACTGGATGACAGATGACAGTGACCTGGACAGGGGTGCGGACAATAGAAATGGAGACAATAGGAGAGGCGATGGGGTGGACAGTGTGATGGGAAGGAGGGCTGAGGACAGCTCGGGGTTTGGTGCCACGCCGGGGAAAGGCCGGGCCAGAGAAGAGGTTGGGAGATGTCAGGGAGCGTGTGGTTGCCTGGGCGGGGGTGGGTGTCTGGGCAGGAGGCCGGAATCCAGACCCCGGGTGGGTGAAGGTTGGGCATGGACAGGAAGTGGGGCTGAGAAGCCACTGTGAGAAGTGTGGCAAGGGGAGCTGTGAGGTTCATGGAGGGTTTGGGAACTTTAAGAAGATGGGCGACGTTAGTGCATATTTGCACGCTGCTGTCTGGAGCTTAGAGTGTGAGAGGCACCATGCGAGAGTGACAGGTAAACGAGTGGAATCCGAGGAAGCCCAAGGGGTACTGACTGGGAAGCACAAGGAGGAAGGACTGAGACACAGCAGGGTGGAGGGGAGGCGGAGGTGCAGGTGGGGCTCTGCACGAAAGAAAGGGTAAGGTGAGGGAGGCCCGGGCAGACGGTGTGGAGGGGAGCACGCACATCCGGGCGGCATGTGCAGCCCACCGAGTTCGAGAACCTGCAGGGCTGAGCCTGTCTGCGACAGAGGACCAGGAGGGAGGGCGGGGAGAGGGGAATGAATAACTCACCAGCCTCTGCAGTCTGAAGCACCTACTGCTCCCCCCTTCTACGAGTGCATTTCTCCACGGAGGCTCTGGAGTTGCCAGTAGTCACTGTGTCTCTGAAGGTTTGAGCCACCCTTCCCACATCACACGCAGGAGCTCAGGAAGAAAGCGCGGCTTGCTCCCTCCCTTTTCTGCATTGTGATCTGTCTCTTTACTCTCCCTGTGGGCTGTCATTCTTGCTTCAGATGCTTGCTGGGTCCTGGGTACCCACTTTTCTCCTCCTTCTCTTCCTCTCATGGCTGTATTCTGGTGTCTGGATTCAAAATTTTTAAATTTAAACATTCACTGTGTTTTTTTGATCACTCATTGATCAAAAGTTATGGAAATCTCTGTGAAATAAAAACACGATGGCGTGTCTGTATCTGCCTTCTTCACTGGATTTGGTACCACATGACTCTGACTCTTCCTCAAAGTCAAAGTGACCAGGAAAGGGAAACATTTTAAATCAATTTAGGACATCACGGCAGCCATGATGGCACAACTAACGACCCTCAGGAAAGAGGACTCCAGAGCTGCTTCAAAAAGTGGCAGGAAGGATGGGATGAATGTGTTCAAAGCAAGTGGGGAGGGGTATTTTGAGGGAGATTCATGGCAATGTGTCCTTTAAAATTATTTTTTAAAAAGTTTACTAGTGATCATATATTTTATACTGGAATTGTGGGAAACAATTTTTATAATTTTTATTGTGCTTGTCATATAAAGTTAAAAAGAATCTTCTATATTATAGCTTTCCCACTCTTAAGTAAAAGAAATCATCTTTTTTTACAGATTTTGTGTATGAAACTGTGTGGAAATCCAAAATACCCCCAGCCACACCTCTCCAGCACCGTGGTGGCCCCTGATGGTAAGCTTTTCTGTCACAACCTGACTTAAGTATGATGCATGTCTGGCCTTCCCAGTGACCTGTGAAGACACAGATCAGGTCACCACGGTTCGGTGTGGCACAGGCTGTAATAGAATGTGCCAAGAAAGCAGGGCCCACAGGAGCTGCAGCAGAATGCGGGCCCCTAGGGCAACACAGCGGCATAGGCATTACTGCTTAAGCATTCTTTTTAGAATTCTTAAAGTTTTTTTTTTAAACTACTTCCATCCCTATTTTTTGTTTTTCTTAACAGAAGTAACAGTGAATCATCGACATGGCCTTCCCTTGATAACAGTCACTCTGCCATCGAGAAAAGAGCGCTGTCGATTCGTAGTCAAACCATTGTTGTCAACAGTTGGGTCCTTCCTTCAGGACCTCCACCACGAAGACAAAGGTGTCAAGGCTGCAGCCATCTTCACAGCAGGTGTGTGTGTGTGTGTGTGTGTGTGTGTGTGTGTGTGTGTGCCTTACAACTTTGTCCAGAGGCCACTTCTTCTGGACCTTGTTTTGATTCTTTTCTCTAAAAAGAATCCCATTCTGTAACCCATTACATAGTAAGTGTTCTTCCTTCATGCCACATATCAGCACAATTGTACAATGGTAACTCTGTTGCATGAGTCAGTTGGATGGATTGGATGTAAGTTTCAGCTCCTTCATAAGCTTTGCCTGGGAGGTCGAGGCACAGTTCGGGGAAGGCTTGGTGTTCATGGCTGGAAGGACCTCAGATTCAGCTGATGGGGACTTGCTGCTGTAACAAGGGTCAGAAGAGAAGCCCGTCAGTCTGGGGCTACCACAGGCTCCAGACGCATAGTTCACCAGTGACTCAGACAGTTGTCACCCAGGAGAGGAGGTGCTGCTGGCCCTGGACCATGCCTGTGCGAGGGCAGGAGGATTGCTCCAAGTTTGAGGCCAGCCTGGGCTATAAGACCTTGTCCCAAAAGGAAAACAAACAAAAAAGAAAGTACAGAGAAAGAAAGCATAGAAAGTAATAGAGAGATTTAGAGAAAAGTGGCTTTTTGGACTGGCTGAAAATGCTTGCTTGGTTTAAATGGATCCTTGACAAAGAATACCTGAGAAATTCTATCATTTTCTCCTTAGAAATGTGCGTGTCACTTTCTGCTGTTCATATGTAAGTATAAAGGGCAATGTAGAATATCAACCAAGAAGTCACACTCAGCTGCTCCCTTTTTATTATAACCTTTGTGGAAGCCGATGTGAAGTCCCTTAAGTGAACCTTTGAATGGCACTGGGAAAGTCAGAGGTACCCATGGGTGGGAGGCTGATGTTTTTTAAAGAGACTCCGTGGGTGGAACTTCCTCGTGTGCATCTGGGCTTGAGCAGAGTACACCGCGCTTGTCTCGGTTGTGCCCATTGTGTGGGTTGAATTACTTGGCAGTTTTGGGGAAAATGATCTCACCCAGTGGATGAACAGAAACCCAAACAGCCAGGCTTTGGAAAAGACCAGGTGCAGACTTGACTGGCTCCCTCTAGGACAAAGGAAGCACAGAGCCAGGCAGGTGCCTGGCGCCCAGCTTCCCCCGATGCACATGGTCCACTGTAGCTGACCAAAGCCCTGGCCGGGAGAAGACAGACCACCTGCGTTCCCTAGACTTCAGCTCATGTAACTTCAGGTTAGCAGATCTGAAGGAAAAGCGACCAAGACACCCAGGCCCTATTTTCTGCTTATTGTTCAGTAAGTTTGCTTTCTTATCACTGAATCACATTAAAGCTTCATTAAAAAAAAAAAAAAAACTAGGCTACATGAGAAGATATGTAAAGCACACTGACATTAAAAGTTTCCAAGAGATTTTTTTTTTCTGAACCATTCCTAGTGTTCAACCCAAACTGTGGAGACTGAGGTGGGTCTCTGAAATAAAAGGGTTGATGGAGCAGTTATAGATGCCAGCAAGAAAAAGGAACATGTCTGGGTCAAGTTTCTACAATCACCAGTAGCAATGCCATGAAGTAGTTAGAAAAACATTGGCTGGGCCTAGAGCTGGGAGTTCTCTTATATTGAAAATTTGGGCCACTGGTAAGGAAATTAGGAAAAACATCCCATTTACAATAGCACCAAGAGAAATTAAACTCTTAGGAATTAGCCTAAGGGAGTGAAAGATCTGCAATGAAAACTACAGTATTCTGAAAAAGGAAACTGAAGAGGACATCAGAAAGTAGAAAGGTACCCCTCTTCCTGAATAGGCAGATCTAACGCAGTCAAAATGGCCACACTTCCAAAATCGATATGCTGATTTAATACAAACCCAATCAAAATACCAACAGCGTTCATATAGAACCAGGAGAGACCAGAATAGCAAAAGCAGTCCTGGGGAATGAGCAAAGCAGGAGGCATCACAATTCTGTGCTTGAAGTTGTATCACAAAGCTACTGTGATTAAAACCAGTATGGTAGCATGGACAAGGGGAAAAAAATGAGAACCAAGACCTGTCATGTAAAGGTACAAGGCCCAATAATGAATGTAACTGTATTGTATCCCTAAAATGTACCAATAAACTCAATAAAAGAAAAAAAAACAGCATGGTATTGGCACAAAAACAGGCATGTGGATCAATGGAACCAAATAGAGGAGGCAGAAACAACCCAAGCACATTCAGCTATCTGATCTTTGACAAAGGGGCCTAAAACACACACTGGAGGAAAGATGACCTCTTTACTAAATGGAGCTGAGAAAACAGGCTCTCCATACGCATGCAGGAGATTGAGCCTAGACCCATGTCTCTCACATTGTACTAAAATAAAAAAGGATGAGAGAACTAATGTTAAAACAAAACACCAGATCTGCTGGAAGACAAAACAGACAGAACTCTTGAGGTCAGAGGCACAGGCAAGGCCTTTCTGAGCAGAGCCCTGGAAGTTGTATGGGAAATAGTACTGAGAATCAGCAAAGGGGATCACGTCAAACTCCAAAGCTTCGGCACAGCGGAAGAAACAACTAACAGTGAAAAAGGAAACCCACAGAATGAGGAAAACATTTTGCCAGCTGTTCCTCAGATATAGGACCAGAATCTAGAACTCCAAAAAATTAGAGACCCCAAAATAAAGGACCCAATCAAAACTGGACAAGTGAAATAAATAGACACTTCACAGAAGAAGTGCAGATGGCCAGTCATTGTGTGAAGAAATACTCAACATGGATGGCTATTGGAAGAATACAGATTGAGACAACACGTAGATTCCATCGCACCCACAGGAAGAATAGCTGTCATCAAAACATCAAATAATAAGGATGTGTGGGAAAAGGAGCTCTTTGGTATTTTTGCTGGGAATGTAGACTAGCACAACCACTGTGGATACCAATCTGTAGATTCCTCAGAACTAAAACTAGAAGTCCCATTTGAATCAGCTATCCCTTTTCTAGGCATCTTCCTCAAAGAGTTGAAGACATCATATTACAGTGGTCCGTGCACACCCGTGTTTACAGCAGCGCAGCCCATCATAACTCCGTCTTGGAAGCAGCCTGTGACCATCACCAGATGAGTGGATGTGGAGAGTGTGGTGTTTGTACGTTGTGGAGCACGACTCTGCCATAAGGAAGGCAGGAGAGAGATCTGTAGGGAAATGGGTGCATGTCAAGACCATAAGGTTAAAATGATTATCAGGCGTGCGAGCTTAAGTATTGAATGGTTCCTCTGTATGAGACACCCAAATGATGAATCATGAGCAAAAGAAAAGAAAATAGGAAGTAGGAAGATGGATCTTTCTCAAATGGGAAGGGGATCAAGAGATGGTGACAGAGAGAGAGAGAGAGAGAGAGAGAGAGAGAGAGAGAGCGCGAGCAGGAGGGAGGGAAGGAGGAGATGAAACAGAAATTAAGATATGTAGGGCCAGGGATTGAGCTCAGTGGCACCGCACCTGCCTCACAAGTGCAAAGTCCTGGTATCACACACAGAAGGAAAGGTAAGTACACGTAGCTGCTCTGTACGAGGAATGTAAACATTATGTACTACAAACATGCACTAATAAAAAATAAATTTTTAAAAATTAGGGGAAGGAAAGCACACGCTGAGTAAAATGCATGATGTTTAAGTTTTTAAAAAGTGCGTTACAGTAAAGGACACATTGTGATGACTCCCTCACCTCGAACACCCTCATCCCGTCACTCTGGCCACTTCTGTGTCGGTCAGTACTTACCAGAGTCGGACGTGGAAGAGCACAGGACGTCTGTGTGCGCTGGAGCCCTGAAGGACCGTTCGAGGGCTTGGGGCCCACAGCCACGTCCCGTGCTCTGAGAAGGGAGCCGGAGGCTGGAGACTGCAAGGCCCAAGGCCCAGGGCCAGAAAGCGCAGTGTCTGTGTCAGGAAGCGGAGAGTCGCACTGGAAGCCAGGAGATGACGTCCAAGATGAAGGTGAAGATGAAGCTCCCCAAGGGAGGAAACAGCCAAAGCTCTTTCGACCAAAAACTGCCGAAATTCCTCGGAAGAGAAGCAGCCTCAGCAAAGATCCTCCAAGGAAGATCAGCTGAAACCCTCCCCTCCCGTTCTCCTTTCCACTGTCCGCAGCGGGCCTCCTGAAGTGGGTCTTCCATGCCCAGAACCACGCCGCCTCACTTTAGCTGGGTGCTCCCACTGAAGATGACAGTCAGTTCAGCACCACATCCTCTCTCCTTGGTGTCTTTACAAGATGTGGTCAGAAACACAGCGAATGCTGCCACTGAGCGCTGTCCGTGTAAACACCTGGTACGGCGTCCTCGTCCACCTTACTTACCGGATCTGGCTCTGTGCAAGTTCCAGCTCTTCCTCAAAGTCAACATGACCGTGCAAGGCCAGGGTTTTCAGTCAATGCAAGACATTGATGTAACCAGGACAGTGCAACTAGACACTCAGGAGAGAGGACTCCAGAGCTGCTGTAGAAAGTGGCAAGGACGATGGCCGAATGTGCTCTAAGTGCGGGACAGGACTTTAAGAGGGTCAGTAGCAACATGTCTTTTACTGTAACGGATTTTTAAAAATTTAAACGTTCATTGAATTTTAACTCGTTTACCATGAGCCTGCTGTGCTACGGAGAACAGGGCGGTGGTGCTGCAGGTGGCAGTGATAGGAACTCAGCCCGGCTTTCAGAATACAGAAGGGATACGAAAGTCTTCTGTTGGTCACCTGTACCTGTTAGCTGATTAACTTTATCTCTTACATCATCCATCCTCTCACCTTGGTATGAAACTTAGGAATCTCAGGATTTTTCTTTTATCCTAGGATACTTAGGGTATTATTTTTTCTTCTTAGTGGTACTGGAGATGAAACCCAGAGCCTTCACCCAGCCCCATTGGAAAATTATTTTTTGAGACAGTCTTCCTAAATTACCTGATTAGGCCCAGACTTGGTGATCATCCTGTCTCAGCCTTCACTAGGATACTTTAAATTGCTAATAGACCGCTGAAATGTAAATCTGTTTCCTCAGCCTTGCTTGTGTTCATTACCATCCCAGCCGCTTGTCTCCTGGAGGTTTGGACTCTTTTCACCGTTCTCGGAAGCGAGGAAGTGAAGGAAGTGGCGGTGGCAGTTTTAGCTGACGCATCTGTCTCCTCGGGTGATTAGGGATAGGAGAAGGGCAGGCTGGCTTTTAAAAATGTCCTCACTGTGCCAGTCGGGCTCGGTTGGGAGCAAAAGAGTCACCAGCAGACTCTTGGGTTGGGAGTGGCAGGAAGCCAAGCTCAGAGAACAGAACAGAGAAAGGACCAGTGTGGAGACCTGGTCAGCCCAGGGCTGCCGGATGGGCCGGGTTGTGAAGACCCTGTCCCAGAAAAGCCCGGTCCCAGTGGATGAGAACCTGGGGAGCAAAGCACAAGTCAGATTCAGGATGGCAGTGTGCAGTTTACTGGGACTTCCATAGCCCTGTGTCTTGGGTGGCAGCAAATCATGGATCCTGCAGTTTAGGTCGGGAAGAGGAGGCTTTATCCTGATCAGGACATAAGGCCCAGCAAATTCTTGGCCCCAATCACTGCAGCACCCAGGATAGGAGGCTCCATACACCGCTCTGTTCTGCCCATGTGCAGGGTGCTGGGAGGCTGTGTGGGGAACACAGCACCGGTCCTCCGGGGCAGCCACAGTGGGCACATGCAAGGTGGGTGCTCCGTAGATCCCTGATGTCCCGGCCTTCCTGTGAGCAGTTCTCAGCTCCCAGTCTGTGTGACCCCGGCATGCAGTGTCACCAGCCACCCTGACCTGGCCTCCAGTCCAGCCGAGGGAGGCCTGCTGCCCTGCTGGTCCGGTGGGGTGGCAGGCATAGTGAGCAGGGCGATGCTCTTGCGGACGGTGGCGACTGAGCTTGGGGAGCTGCCCCCAAAGTGAAAGCCACCATTGTACCATCCATGCCGAGGGGGCAGTGACTTCCTGTGTGCTGAGAAATGCTTCTCACTATTGTAGGACACAGACTTTGATTCGTGTTTTGTCTTTCAGATGGCAGTGAGATTCCAGCTTCTACCTTGATGGATGTTTTGCTGATGAAAGATTTTAAACTAGTCATTAATGAAAGAGCCTATTTTGTACAGCGTCTTGAGGCAGGTGAGAAACACTGCTGTCCAACTGTGAACAGCCGTCCCTCGGAGGGGTTTTCGGGGAGCAGGCAGGCCTGTTCAGGCACCAGGTTCCCGAGGGCACCGCCCCCTTCTCCTTTCTTTCTCTTCCTCTGCTCTGTCTCCGCCTCCTTCTCCTCCTCCTCCCTCTCCTCCTGCCTCTGCCTGCTGTCCTCTTCCTCTCCTTGTTTACTACACGTCTGTGTACATCAGGACGTTCACCGTGGGGAGCTGGTCCCCGCACGTAGCGTATCTTCCTTCATTTCTTCCTCCATCTCTTTGCCTTCTTCCCATTTGCCAAAGATCTGTCTCCCTATTTCCCATTGTCCCTGTTTTGTTTTGCTCTTTGATTTATTTCTACATGGGGTCTTCGGAAACAGCAGTTTTTCCCCCACAGGAAGCAGGGTGCAGCTTTCCTGATTTTTGCTCTGCCGCCGGTGGAGTTTCCACAGGGGAAACTCACAACAGTGTGGGCCTGGCCCCAACCCTGGGCCTGGGGTTTTAAGTCTGCAGAAACCTCAGTTCTAGTCCAGTGCTCCAGCCTGGTGCCCGGTCCTCCCAGATTTCTGCCCCTGTAAACCCTGACTCTCCCTACCCTTCTCTCCAGTTTGCGGGAACATGGTGCCCCTGTGACCACAGTTCTCCAGTAGATGTTAAATGTTGGTTTTCAGTTTGCTCAGTTATTTTTTGTGGTTGTTGTTCAGTTATTTATTCACTGCTAGGATGGAGTGAGGGCTTTCCAGGCCCTTCCGTGCCAGATTAGAAACTGGAAGTCTTAACTTCTTAGATGGCTTTCCTTTTAATTTCAAACTCTGGGCTGAGCATCGTTAGTACAGAAAGCTCAGCTCCAGCATGTTCCCAAATCCAGATTTTGGGTGCTGCTATGACAGTGGAAATCCCTCTGCAGGCCTCCCATGCTGGGTTGCAGTCGAAATGCAGGTAGACAGAACTACGGTATAGGAGCTGGGGTGTAGCTCAGTGCTGGAGCATGTTCCTGGCACGAGGCCCTGGGTTTGATATTCTGTTATGGATGTGCCAATATTCCAAAACTCAAAAGGGATCCTAAATTTGAAATACTTCTATTCCCAACCGTGCTGGGTTTTTTGTTTGTTTGCTTTAGGAGATTTGTTTGTTTTTTGAGACAAGGTCTCGCCATATAGTCCAGGCTGGCCTTGAGCTCACTGTGTAGCCCAAGCTGACCTCAAAATCACTGAGATCCTTCTGCCTCAGCCTTCTGAGTGCTGGGATTACAGGTGTCTGCCACCACATCTGGCTTGCTCCCAAGCATTGTGGATAGGGATACTCTGGCTGAATCAGTGTGATGATTAGCAGTAGACTTTTGGAAACTTCTCGGTTATCATTACTTCAAGCATCGCTTCTGTCTCCTCTCATCTCCATGTAGTCTTTCTGTTTTGCATTTACATTCCATCTACTTAACTATTCTCTTAGTTTTCTCCATTCTTTTTCTCTAATTTGCGGTTTGGGAAGATTTTGGTGATGCAGCCTTAAGTTCACCGACCCCTTCCTTCCCAGGGTCTAGTCCACTGATGAGCCTATCAGAGACGTTTTTCAGGCTGGGCATGATGGTGAATGCCTGTGATTCCAGCTGCTTGCCAGAGGATCACAAGTTCTAAGTCAGCCAGGGCAACATAGTGAGACATGATATATATGAGAAGGGCTAGGTATGCAGCTCAGTGCTCCCTGGGTCCCACATGCAGAAAAAAGGACATTTTCACTTCTGTGACAATGGTTTGTATTTCAGCAACTCCTGGTTCTTCCCTGCTTCGTCACTTGCGTGTGTGTGCCTTGAGAAACCTCCCTGTTTCAGTCGTAACTGTGTTTCCGTCCCAGTCCTATCATTCCATGACCTTGCCAGGAGCTTCCTCTCCCCCAGTGCCCAAGCGGGAGCAGAAGCCTCAGGTCTATGTGGTTAGCGACGTCGTTCACAGCTTATCCTGATTCCTCTCCCTGGCTGGAGGGTTACCGCTGGGAATTGAGCCCCAGGGCTGGTGCCTGAGGTTCCCAGTGCTACCAGTCACCTGCAGACTGCTGACGGGGACCTGTCCAGGCTCACAGTGTCAATGAACAGGAACATGGGGGTGTGGGTGGCAGAGGACACATAGGAGACAAGTTGAAAATGAAATTCCAGAGTTGTAAATTTGGCCAGGCATCTTGACATACCCCTGTAATTCCAGAACTGGGGAGCCTGGGGCAGGAGGATGGCTGGAATTCTGGCCGACGTGGAGTGCATAGTGAATTCAAGCCTAGCCTGAACTGCACAGGAGACCCTGTCTCAAAAAACAAATTGTAAAAAAAAAAAAAATGTAACTTTGGAGTTTAAAAAATTATTTCAACTATTTCCTACAACATTACCAATTCAGATTTGAAAATTGTAATGACCCGAGTTTGATCCCTGGTACCAAACAAAAACAATATGGATTTGAAAATTTAGGGCATGGAAATAAAATTCACATGAAAGACACAAAAAACGGAACATTCCTTAGTGGTGCTGTGCTGGCCTGGCAAGTATAAGATCCTGAGTTCGATCTGCAGCACCACAAATAAATAAATAAATAAATAAATAAATAAATAAATAAATAAATAAATAAATAAATAAGGGAATAAACAGCTGTGGTATAAAGCATATTTTCCTCATATTTGGGGTTACCAGGAGATGCCACATAGGCACTATCAGTTAGGCTTCTTTTGCACCTAAGAATTCTATCGCACCCATACTTTCTTTTTCTCCAATAGCAAAATGTAATTATGTAAGGTCAGAAAAGAGAGACTCGCTGCAGGATGGGAGTGCACTGCAGAGAGCCAACACTGGCAGAGTGGTTAACAGCAGCCACCTTTGGTGTCTCCCACGCTGCCCTCAGGTCCAGGCCGTCCCATCCCAAACCTGCTTGCTTTTGAACCAGAAGAACAGAAGACAGAGCTTTCTCAGTGGTCCCAGTTCAGGGAATGGAAGTGTCTTCCTGGGAGCTGCTTCTGGACTTCTGTGACTGGCAGCTCAAGTGTGGCGCCCATACTTCTGCCAGCACAGCCAGGGCCTTGTCACGGAGCTCAGGCAAAGAGCAAGGAAGTCCGTCCTGGGTCAGACTCCAGCAGGCCCTGCTGAGCTTCTCCTGGACCAGGCCTCCACCTTAGTCTAGAGGCACTGCAGGCTCTGAGCACCCCAGGGACTTCTGGTACACGCACAAACACACACACACACACACTCCTGCTGAGCTTCTCCTGGACCAGGCCTCCACCTTAGTCTAGAGGCACTGCAGGCTCTGAGCACCCCAGGGACTTCTGGTACACGCACACACACACACACACACACACACACACACACACACACACACACACACACGCATGCACCTCCCTTCCAGGAGCCTGGAACACACATGTGCTCGGTGGCAGCTCAAGGCCCCTAAGATGCCTGTCTGAAAGAGCTCCTTGCCCATGGAGTTAGTTTGTGTCAGCCCAAGCCTGGCAGTCAGTGCCAGGTCCCCGAGCCAGACCTGGCACAGTTACTGAGGAAGCCTGCAGCTCTGAGCTATGCTCAGCCCTGATGTGCAGCTCCCTCCAGGAGCCCTCTGCAGGGTGCAGAGCCCAGGCTCCCCCAGGCAGTGGGCCCTGTGCTGACCTGCACCCCTCTGCTCCTCACTGGAAGACAGAAGCCCCTGACTCTGAATCTGCAGGGAACCAGCGCCAGGGTTCCTCACACCGACTGCCCTTTCTGCTTTCCTGACTGCCAGGCCTGCGCTGTTTTCCCTCCTGACTCCCGCTGTCTCCCTTTAAAACATCTATGAACCTCCCATAAATCAAAGCTGAGTTTGGTTCCTTTAACACCAGGCCTCTTCTCTACGGAAAGTTGTTAATAAGACCTGTCCTGGGCTGGGGACGCCGCTCAGCAGTAGAGCATTTGTCTGACATGCAGGAGACATTGGTCTCCATGCCCAGCACCTCAAAACAGGAAGGAAAGAAGGAAAGGGAAAATTTCCCTACCACTTTGGTGTCAGCTCTGTTTCTTTTTGTTATTCTCCACGGCTTTAAACAAAATCTTGCCATGGACAGCAGTTGTGCACACATAGAAAACAGACCTTGTCGCTGTCCCTACCTTTTCCTTCCTTGCAGTTGGTTATGGGGAATGAAGCCTTGTTTTTCATGGTAACAAAGGATTCTGACTGAAACGTGACTGAGACTTGCAGTGGAGCCACTGCTCCTGCCCCTCTGTGGCGTTCTAGTGCCTGTGTGGCCAGAGCTGCAGACCACAGCAGAGTCTTGACCTGAAGCTGGGGAAAGAGGTGGAGGCCTGGGGCCTGGGTGGGGACCAAGGGCCAAAGCTGAATCAGGGTGCTGCCTCCTGCTGGGGTCCCCTGAGTTCTCCTAGCAGAGCAGCGCACCGGCAGTGTTCTCAGGAGAGCATTGTAACAGCCACACTGTGTGAGTGACCGGCCCAAAAGGAGGAAGAGAGAGATTTTGCCTCTACTCCGCATACCTGGCAGGGCACTGGTGGTGAGAGATCCACTGACAGAAACAAGCGGTATCTTATTGTGGGGACATTTCATACTGAAGACCAGGGTGCCTGTGATTCTCAAAGAGGCCATGAAAACTCCGGTCTATACAGCATCTTCACCAAGAACTTGCATTTTTAAAGAAGCCAAAAGACAGAAGGAGTCGCTAGGGGCAGCAGACTGGGAAGGCAGATTATGAAAGGCAGATCAAGGCTGGGGAAATGTGTGATGCAGATTACTTTGAGGATATCTCCAGGCCAGCAGTGGCCTACACTGTCCCTGGTGACCAACCTCAGCTCTTACCTGTAACCAGGGGAGAAGGGAGACCCCGGGAAATGCATGTCCTGCCTCTCGTCTGTCTTCAGCTCAAAACAGTCCTTAGGTCTCAATGGCAGGTTCTGGGGTGGCAGATTCTGGTCTCCCACATCTGTGGGGACGCCCTATTGTGAAGAGGTAACCTGCTCACTTTAAGAAGAGAGTCTGTCTGAAGCCCGTGTGACTCATGAGCACCATGGGAGCACATAGGTCAGCCTGACCCTCCCGCTAACGACCACCGCGGCGACCAGAGACATGGCCTGCGAAGCTGTGGTGGTTACTCTGAGTTAACATGGGAGCTGAGGTCTGAGTAACTCCCACCCAAGTCCCATTCCCACGGCCAAAATCTTCTTAGCTAGAAGGACGAGGTTGCAATGATAATTCTGTATTTTGTCTGTTCTGTTCCTAATTCGAGAAGGCTTTCTTTGTCTTTTCCTTCAGAAGCCTTGCCCATGTTAGTATCCATAGCAACTGCATGAGTGCATGTCCTCCCATGTAGTTCCCTTTTACCCCAATCTGATTACCAATAAAAATCAGGAGCTTCGGCTGAAAGGCCTTTGCTGGTGGCTCAACACTGGCCATCCTGGCTCCCCACTTTTTTTTCTTTAATTCTGTCTTTGAGTCTTCCTTCAACCCTGTGTCCTGTACTGCGCAAGAGACTGGAACCTATTGCAGGAGTCTCCTGGACACACCTCCTGCCCCAGTGCCTGTATGCATTGCCTTCCGACCAGTGCTTTGTGTCTTGTGACTCACTTCCTGAAAGCAGCTTTTCCAACATGTTTCACCTGTATTTACCTGACTGGACACCAGCTTCCCTTCCTGTGTGTCATGGAGTAGCTGTGGGAGAGAGGGCTGGGGTAGGGAGTTCGCTCTGAGGTGAACTCGGGGGTAGAGGTGCTCACCTGAATTTGATTGCATGGATGTTTCCCTGATTCTTCCTACAAATCTTATTGTTTGGGGTTTTTGGAGACTGGGTCTCACTGGCAGCCCAGGCTGGCCAGGAACTCATATCCGTCTACCTGCCTCAGCCTCTGGAGTGCTGAGATTGCAGGCGTGCACCCCCACCAGATGGAGGCATGAGTGTGACTGCCTTCCCTTCCCTTGTCTTCTCAGAGAAACCAAGCAGGGAGCCTTCGAGGGAGATGGAAAATGTGTGCTCCTTGGTGCACAGGCTGTTTTCAGTCCTGCACCTGGAGGAGTTGCAGAAGGAGACAGAACTCAGCTTGTTGGTGAGGATCGACCACCTGCAGGCACAGCTGCAGCCCCTGGAACAGGTGAGGTACTTGTGCTGGTCACCACAGTCACACCCAGGTGAATCCCAGGCCTTGGGCGTCCTCCTGAGCGCCTGCCCTGGGCTCATTCCTGAATTATCCTCCTCTTCAGAGGAGGCCACAGAGGCAGAGTCCTTCTGCTGGATGTGAGTGGAGACTCATCGGCTGGGCCCTGAGCACTGCTCCGGCTGGTTCTGCATGCAGAAGTCTGAGTTCCTCAGTCCTGAAGACAAAATAACTGATGTTTTAGGGCATGAGGGGAGGAATCTGTTGAAGGAAAAAACCATTCTTCAAGCCTGTAATCAGATTTGTGACTATTTAGGAAAACTTGGAGTACATATGTATCTTTGAATATGAATTGAAAGTTTTTGTAGGTATTGGGGGCGCTATTTTTGTTTGTTTTTTGAGACAGGGTCTCACTATGTAGTTGAGACTGACCTGGAACTCACTGTGTACCCCAGTCTGGTCTCAAACTCACAGTGATCCTGCTGCCTCAGCCTCCCGAGTGCTGGGATTACAGGCGTGCGCCACCACACCCAGCGTGGAGGGGACTTTCTGAGAGGATTTTACTATGCGATCCTCCTGCCTCAGAGGTTCTCCCTCCTCTAGGTGAAAGCTAGAATTGAGGCTCAAGCTGAAGCCAACACCAGCAGGCTGCTGTGGGCCGGCCTGGCACTGCTGTCCACACAGGGGGGCGTGCTGGCCTGGCTCACCTGGTGGGTGTACTCCTGGGACCTCATGGAGCCTGTCACCTACTTCCTCACCTTCGCAAACTCCATGGCCTTCTTTGCCTACTTCATAGTCACACGGCAGGTGAGTCATTGCTGGCACCGACCTCTGCTGGGATCTGCTTGTCTAAGTCAAGCGTCCAGACCCCTGCATTGGCCAGGTCACTGTTGTTCGGGTTTCTGTAAACTTGGGGTTTCTGTGTTGTTTCTCCCAAGGCTGGATAGAGGTAACTCAGTGAAACTAGATCCAACCTTTCCAGAGGGTTAATTAGGACAATGCACACATCCCTCTCTCAGGATAAGCTCGTGGAGCTGATGTCCTCTGCACCACCATTTATGAATACAGCTGAATCCGGACACAGGACCCCGGCTCCTTCCAGCCGTGGCTGCAGTCGCTGACCCAAATCTCCCCTTTCTTCTTTCTGTCCTCTTCCCTGCCACCTGTCACTACTGCTTTGCGTGTTGGTTCCGGGTTCACCCAATCCTGCTCGCCCTGTGTGGCTGTTAAGCAGCTTTCCCACAGGGGCAGCCGTTCCTCCAAACACGGGATTTCTTCTCTTTCGGTAGAACTGCACTTACCCCATCGCCAGGAGGAGGCAGCTTCTTCGCATCTTCCACAGGCAGTCACAGCACCAGCGCTTCGACGTGCAGCAGTACAACAAGTTAAAGGACGAGCTGGCCAAGGTACCCTGCGTCCCTGCTGGGGCTGCTGCGCTGCGGGAGAGAAGCCCGCATCAGGGAAGAGGGGTGAGAGGGTTACCTCCCGGCTCCATGCGGCTCTGCAGAGTTGTGTGCATTGTGAGATTGTTCAGCAGAATACCTACATTTCTGATACTACTTTCATACCCCAGTTTTATGCTTGTTTTTTGTTCTCTGCAAAGGAAGTTTTTTGGGGGGATGGTTCTGGAGATTGAATCCAGGGCCTTCACACTGAGCTACGTGCCCAGCCCTTTTAAAATATTTAATTTAAGTACACAGTCTCACTAAGTTGCCCAGATTGGACACTAACTGGTGATCCCCTGCCTCCGCCTCCTGAGGGCTGGGATTACAGGCGTGCACCAGCACACAAAGCTGCAGATGTCTTTCTTAAATGAGTTTCAGGGAGAAATAAACGCTCTCGGCAGGAATGTGCTTGTGAGCCAGTGAGGCCAGCCCCAGGGCTGGGAGCTTTAAACTCCATGGCATTGTTTCTTGGCTTTGAAGGTGGAAGATCCCCGATGGAGTCCTCCTCCCGCCCTCTGGGTGAAGGGACTCAGGCTCCCAGAGGCCCTACACCAGGTGCACAGAAAGGGACGGAGCCAGGGTCAGAGCAAGGGCTTCACTGCAGCCCGGCTGCCTCCAGCCTGTCATCCGGCCCAGGCTTCGTCACAGTGGGATTCTAAGGCAGTGTTTGGCCCTGGCCTCCCAATTTATGCAGGAACCTTGTTCACACCATGCCTTCTCTGCACAAAAGTGGATCACTTTCTTTTAGGAATTTATTAAGCAAAAATGTTCTGATAAAGATAACCCACATTTCTCGATGTATGTACATTTAACAGCAGTTATGTCTAAAGTACTATGAAGTTAAAGAAATGGTTAGAGGTAACTTTATAACTCCCCAATTGAAAAACTTTTAAAATTGTTTATTTCATACAATCATTCAGTAGGAAAAATTTAATCCTTTGTGTTTTTCAATGTTGTGCATTCCCTTCCATTTGAATGCTACAGGGATAAGGAATGTTCTCAGGGTCATTCCAGGATGGGCAGTGAGATTTAAAGCGATGTCCTGTGAAATATGATTGGTTTTTAAGGTAATAAAGTGGAGGCAGAAAACAAACTGGTGGATCATGAAGGTCTTTTAAAGAATATGAACTGGAAAATCCACTCTGAAGGGGATAAACTAATTTTTGTTAAAGCGTGAGGATGAAATAGGAACTCTGTTCATCTTTTCAAAAGGGATTGAGATAAAGTTGAGATAATTTAGGGATTTGCCACTGGGCGTTGAAGTGTTTTGCTGCCCTAGTTTTATTGAATTTCGCTCAAAGCAGTAATGCAGCTTTCTCCATTTTTGCTTTGTTTCCCCCACAGGCTAAAGAGTCCCTGAAATGCGTCCGCCGCTCTATCTACCTGGGACGGCGGGTAGAGGAACTCAAGGAGAAGAATTAGCTTTTTTGTGAAAGTCACTAGATTTTTCCATGTTGTTCTGATTTCATAACACCCAAATGGGACATTATTGAGTCTCGTCATCCATTTCAGTTTAACTGTTGCTGTGAGAAACACAGCCCTGTCATTTCTATCAAAGAATGTACGCCAGAGCACACATCTTAGACTCTAGTCCACCCTACGCGGCCCGTCCCAAATACACTGCAATTATGGAAATGCCTGCTCAGTTTAACTTCGGGAGACTCAGCTGAAGCCAGGATCGCTCCACAATAGCCTGGGACCTTTTGAGCCCCACCCTCCGCTTCTGTTCTTCTGTCTCCTCAGAAGCCCTTGGGATCCGCCTTGGCATCGCTTAAACTAGCCAGTTTCGAGGTGGCGAGCCTTTGGATCTGCCGGTGAATTTAAAGGACAGCTGCTTCCCATGTGTGACAGCTGAAAGCCCTGCTTCCCTGGCGCTGGCTGCACTGTTGCCTCACATGTGTGTGCTCGAGTCCTTCTGTAGAAGCAAACTTCAGACTCTGCCCCGTGGAGTTCTCTGGCTGACCGACTGAGTGCATTCTTTAACCCCAACACTTTGGGTCTGGGGACTCATGTCTAGCAGTAGTTAATAAATGGGTGTAAAGCACAGGCACACTTTGGCGTTTTCCCTTGTTTCTTGACATACAGGTTTGCTGGCTTGTTCCTGCAGAAGCAGCCAGGGGCTCCACGCCCCCCGCCCTCCCCTGGCCAAAGTGAGGAGCCTGGCATCGTCCACCTCACCCTGGGCTGCTTGTGGACTCCAGCTGGCATTCATTTCTCTGTGCATGGGCAGGAGTTGGAAGTCACGGCTTCATCATTTACTGAAACGAAGCCCCAGACCACAATGTGAGACTGCAACTCTGAACTCAACTCTGCGATTCAGTTCTCCAAACCTAAGCACGTCACCATCTTCATCCCTGTAGGGACCAGCAGTGTTAGATTTAGCTATCGTTTAAAAGATTCAAACCTTGTAAGAGACCAGCTTGAAACTGCACTGAGCAGGCTTTAGACATTATTGATTTGGCTTCTGAATTTGGCTATTGATTATATGTCACTCCAAGGCCCGTGTGTGAACTGCTAACTGCCCTCTGGCCTAGTGCTTGCAGACAGACTTCCCTAAGCGAACAGTCACAGTCCAGGTCTCAACGAATATGAGGTGGAGACGTCTCTGTAGCAAGGAAACACTGTACAGAGGAATTCTGACTCTCTGCAACCATTGTCTAAGGTCAAACGTTAGCAGCATAATTCAGGACACTTGTTAGCGATGACCTGCAGGACAGCACAGGTGCCCTGTTAACTGTGACCTGCACAAGTTGCATAGTGGCTCCCTTTTCCCAAGCCTGGCTCTTTGGAGCATTAGCTCTGCTGTTCCCGACATCTGCCTCCACGCCCCCTTGCCACGTTATACAACCATAAATACCGACTTGTCCACGGCCAAGGTCTTAGCCAGGACACAGCTAAGATCAGGTGGTCGGCAGGCAGGAGGAGCTGAAGATCAACTCCTGGAACCCCCAAATGAAACTATTGTTCGTTCTTGTTCTTCGTATATTAGTCTTTCATTCCCTGCTGTCCTCTCCTCAGGTGGCCAGGTACCCTTGGTGACTGGTCAGACCACCAACCTGACAGCTGGTCCAGCCATCAGCCGGGACCACTCTAGGGTGCTGTCAGCCCCTCCCAACCCCGAGTCACGTGTGGCTGTGCAGGAGCCGGTTGGTGCTGGAATGAAGAGCGAGCCGCTCAGAGCAGGGTCTCGAGGGCTCCTCCCTGTAGGGGAGACTGGTGCTCCACACTTCGTCCTTGCAGTGCCAGGCACAGCTAGCTGTGGGAGGGCAATTTTTAAAAATTTTAGTAAGTAGTAAAGTTGTACATAGAATGTGGTTTATATGCAGAGGCCACATTTTATGTACGACTTTACTACTTACTAAAATAAAGATAGTGAACAGGTAAGAGACATCCAGGAACCAATATGAATGAGAAAGATTTAATACAGCATGATTTTCAAATATCTTAATAAAGGGAAATTATTATCTAATTCTTGGATTTCAAGTCTTTAAAAACATTATAAAGTAAGCTTTTATTTAAAAAGGCACAGAGTATGAGCTGAATCAGCTAGGTATTTTGGGGCACCTTGTAATTTAAGCATCCCTGAATGCTTGTAGGTTTTTAATGTAATTTCCTGAGTGTTTTTCAGGCCGTTTAAACATGAACATATTCCAAAACATTTCTCTACTGGGGAGGTAAACAGGGAAAGGCACAGGCTACATGTTGATGATGCCACCTGTAATTGCTGGCTTCCGTGAGAAGTGCAGCTTTTTCGTGAGCATGGAGGCAAAGCACGGGATCTGCTTCTTGCCAATGGCACCAGGGTCTTTGCAGACCCCCACACGGCGCTGGGAAACCTTCCTGTTCACCAGCGTGAGCAGCTCTGTGAACTCCAGCGTGGACCCGTATCTCTTCAACATCTCGCACAAATCTTGGATGTACCACGAGCCATATACGGTCTCTCGGTGAGAATAATATCCTAAAGAAAGAGGAAGTAAAGGGAACTGTCATTTCCTTGCTGTTTGTTTTTTCTTTCTCTGAGACAGGGTCTTCCTGTGTAATTCAGGTTAGCCCTAAGATCACTGTGTAGCCCAGGCTGGCCTCGAATTCATGGAGAATCTCCTGCCTCAGCCTCCTGAGTGCTGGGGTTCCAGGTGTGTGAGGGAATGATTTTTCTAAGGCAGTCTACACTTTCACTTCTCACTCTGTGACTAAGGAAATCATTGGCAGGCTATGACTTTTTCCCACACATTCTGGTTCAATCCTAAAAGACCTGCCTAACTCAATGAAAGGTGAAAAATAAGCGGGCAATCCCAGCACTGGAGGCTGAGTCAGGAGGCTGTCCAGGAGCCAGGACAGTGTGCAATTCAGTGAGACCAAGTCTCCTAAAGCAAGGAGGCTGAGTGTGACAGGAACTTAGAGGAGACAGCAGCTGTCTGCCCACGGCACGGACTTACCTTGTGCCACCGAGTAGCACATGAGGAAGTCAGCCCCTGCCGGAAGCGTGTGCACTGCAGCTGCATCCACCTCGGTGACGTTGTCCTGGGTGTCCGGGACCTGAGAATCCACGGTGTCCAGAGGGACGACGGGCAGGTCGTGCTGTTGTCCCCGACACGCCTACAGGCCAGAGGGAAAGCACTGTACGTCTTCCCTAGTGACGGGGTCGTTCGGGTGACCGGATCATTCGGGAAGCGCATTACACACAGTTCAAAAGCAACGTGTCCAGCCTTGCAGGGGATGACAGATGTCAGAGCCTTTTCCCTACTTGTGTTTCTCCTTCCTTAATGCTAAACAAAAATAGCATCCACAGAAATTACAGCAGGGTTTCTGGAACGGGAGAAGCTAGGGGAGGAAGAGCTGCCCGCATTGTAAACGACATTTTTCTGTCAAGACTGGGTCTCACTCTGCGTTCCAGGCTGGCCTCGACCTCACTTTAGCCCAGTCTGGCCTCGAACTCTCTTTGATCCCCCTGGCTTAGCCTCCTGAGCGGGTCGAGTTTATCCTTAGCCTTTCTCAGGCTTGTTTTCTGGTCTTACTCTCTGTGCTCCTTCCTAAGTACAATGCAGACCCTGCAGCCTGACGAGGTCTCCTGCCCAGCCGGCTGCAGTACTGACAGGTGGATCTGGAGAAGCCTCGCCACACATACCTGGCACCATCCCGGCCGCTCCTTCCTTCCCCAAGGAGGGTTTGTCCTTCCAGCCCTCCCCCGGGCAGGGCTACTGCTATTCCTGGCCCACAGCTAAAGAACCTGAGTCCACGCCCAGCAGAGAAGCCAGGGCTCCTAGTCCCAGCCACTTAGGAGGCTGAGGCAGGAAGACAGCTTGAGCCTGGGAAAGTGGAGACCAGCTGAGAGAGAGGCGAAGGTGCCCAAGCAGCTCTCTCCCCGTGGCCCTCCTCTCAGAGCGGCTCAGGCATCACCCACGGCTCTCACGTTCTGAGGACGGTCTGCCCCTCCCTTTCATGGAACCATCGTGCACTGCAAACCTAGACTCATAAAAGCAAAACAAAACAAAATGCAAAATAAAAGGAAAGAAGGGAAAAGAAAAAAAATATGAGAAAAGGAAAAACATGGAAACAAAGTCTTTCTAAATAGGAAAGCGGGGGTGAAGGGAGGGCAAGAGAATGGGGAAAAATAAGAACCAAGTAAGTCATGGAGAGGCACAAGATCCCAGTGCTCACTTCCGCAGAACATATACTGAAAATAGGTACAAGATCCCATGACGACTGTAACTGGACTGTATACTTAAAATGCACCAATAAACTGAATGGGAAACACAAAACAAAACAAACATAAAACACAAAACTGGCTTTTCGACCTTTCTGATCACGGGCTGCACTGTGGCCCTGGTGAGCAGCAGGACACCCTGCCCGGCCGTCTTAGTTGGTGCCGAGACGAAACCCCTGACACCAAATTTAAAGGGGGAAGTAGGGTTTATTTGCTCACATAGAGGTTTCGGTCCATAGCTGGCTCCGAGGCCGGAACAGCAAACAGGTCTCGCAGAGGAGAAAACACGGCGCACACCAGGCAGCAAAGGCAACACTCGGCCTTAACAGCGCCTTCTGCCCTTTCACCCTGACCGATCTATAGGGAGTAGGGCGGCGCCAAACCGAACCCTTGCGCGGGCGGGCGGCTCAGTAGCCACAGGCCCCGCCTCTCCACAGGGGGCTCTGGGGTGACTGGACGCCGCGTACCTACCAGCCTCACCTGGATAATAAATATCTTGGGTTTGCCCACCAGGCTCTGGCATTCGTCCCCTCTGAACAGGGCAGTCAAGGACTGGATCTCGATCTTGCCATCGTACGCGTAGACATGGTTGTCTTCACCGTGGGTCAGGATGGCGCACACAAAGCAGTCGGCATCCATGTGGCTCGACTTGGACACTGCGGAGGCCGCAAAAGTGGACACGGAAATGAAACAAGATGCTTGTGGTCCACACGGACAAATTCAATTCACTGGTACCAGGACGAGACACACTTGTGTGACGGGGGTGGGGTGGGTTGTTATTCTTTAACAAATGTAAAATATCTGATTTTATTTAGACTTTTGTCCAGTAGAACAACTCATACCAAACTGTCAGATTTTTGTTTTTTGTTTTTTTGGTACCAAGGATCAAACTCAGGACCTTGTGCTTGCAAGGCAGGTGCAGTGCCACTAAGCTAAAGCCTCGGGCCCAAACTATCAAATTTTTAAAACTCTGAAATATTAAAGTTCAAACTATCCAGCAAGATACCACACGGTTCTAACCCTACACATTGGAGGCTGAGGCAGGAGGATCATTGCAAATTAGAGGCTAGCCTGGACTACATACAAGACTGTCTCAACCCTAATCCTCCAGAAAACTCATAGTACCACTTCTAACCTAACTTCAGCTTTTCTTTTTTCCTCCAGTGCTGGGGATCAAAGCCAGACCCTCATGCAAGCTGGCTACTGACCTTCTGTTAGCTTTTAGCAGGATGATGTGGAAGACGTGAGTGAGGCCATGCTGGGAGCCTCCTTTAAGATCCCAGCTTCCCGGGCAATAGACTAAGTGTCTGAATTCCGGAGGCTTCCTGGAGCAGACAGGGAGCCCCCACCTGATCTCTCCCAGCATGCGGAGGAGTCCGGACTCACACTCAGCCCCTCAAACTCACGAGCAAAGCAGCAGCCTAGTCCGCAGCCAGGGGAAGGGATCTGCACGGATTACAGGGAGTTTCCAGTAAAGGTGCAGAGATCACGGTGGCCCAGCAGAGGCGGGCGAGCCTGGGCCTGTAGAACCACAAGACCCGGCGCCGAGGCTGCTGCACAGAACAGAGCCGAGGTCTGCCAGTCTCGGCTGCGGTCAGTGAGGAAATGTGGCAGGGAGCAATGACCGCCCAAAGCCCAGCAGGGGCAGGCCTGGCACTGGTAACTTCTCCACGACGTGCAGAGCCCTCTTCCCCTCCTGCTGGGCTGTCACTGGGGGCGTTCGCACAGCACAGACCTCCAGGTGCGATGCCCAGCCCGGCCCTGCAGATCAGGTCCCTAACAGCAGCAGAGGGGCCCGGCCCCGCCTCCAGCCTGAGCTCCACCCGTGACGCCTTTCCCCACGCAGTCATCTGTCCCTGTGCTCACAGACAGACTAGAGGACGCCGGCCCAGGGGAGGAAGAGGAAGGGTTTACCACAGATCCGCTCACCCTCGTGAATTCTGTCCAGGAGCTCCGCTGCTTTCAGGTTGTTAAAGCATCTCACTTCAAATCCCAGCTCCGAAAACCTGGTGACACAGGAAGTTAAGTATCAGCGGAAGAGCTTTCCCAAGCAGCCCTACATGCTGACCACCGAGGCATCTGGACCCATACTTATGACCCCTAAATCTACTTTTCCTTAGGAGAAAAGAATATGACAACAGTCGATCCTCCTCGGTAAGAAAGGATCTGGCCCCGGTGGAAGCCAGTTCCATTTAGACACGGCCCACGGCCACACAGGTGCGTGAGCGACAGCGAGAAGCGGAATGAACGGGGAGGGCAGCGGCTGAGAGCTCGGGACGTGGGGCTCGCCCTGCGGCACTGGGGACCGGGGAGCCGGCCTTGTGTGAGCTGAGGACCGCAGTCCTGGGGGCCCTGGTCTGTGAGCTCAGCAGGCTGTGATCGACACAGACACAGCTGCTACCTGCGAGCCAGATTGTCCCTGTCGGCGTTCGTGCCCCTCCTCTCCGGCAGCATCAGCTGCCAGAAGAAGTGCTCCTGGTTGAAGATGACGGCCAGCCCTCTCCTCCCGTGGTCCATCCTGTACTGTTCCGTCGGGTCAGCCATGTCCCTGTCTGTGGAAAGTGCACAGAGCCGTCACCTGCAGAGGGATTCAATATCCAGTGCTCCAGGCCACAGGGCGCACAGATGTCTGCCACTTCCAGGGGTGCTGGGCTACGATCCTCCCGGGTGCCAGTACAGGCCTTGCTGGCCAGGAAGGACAAGGACACCCATGAGTGGACTCCCCATGACACATTACCCCAGGGCCTCAGGATCCATCCACCCAGAACAGCCTGGTGGAGAAAAAGCTCTAGCATGAGCCCTAGGCCACATCAATGGGATTTAGTCTTGTGGGAGTAAGAATAGATTCTGGGACCTTCACACTGAGCTTTCTGCACAGTCCTTTTTATTTTTACCTTTGAGATGGGGTCTCGCTAAATTGCCCAGGCTGGGCTTGAACCTTTGATCCTCCTGCCTCAGCCTCCCTTAGTGTGGGGATTATAGGCCCAAGGCACCAGGCCCGGCTCCATAACAGGCTGGGTGAGACAGCATCCCGGCAGGTGCTCTGACAGCCAGCCAGGGCAATTAAGGCTGCTATCTCCAGATCCAGGCCTCCAGCGGTCACACCTGCCCTCCTCTGCCCCTCCCTTGGTCCTGGGGCCCCTTCTTGTCCTTGCTGGAGACAGTCACCAAGGGAAAGAGAAACCTGTATGAGAAAAGAGCACACTCTCACCTGGTCAGGCAGGTGTCTGCTTCTGCTGTGTTTCCTTCTTCACCTAACTAAAAACAAAAAGTTGACTTTGTGAATTTATTTTCTGACCCATGGCAGCAAAACGCAGCAGGAGCTCCCAGTGGGGTCTGAGCCCTGAAAATGCAGGGAAAGCAATGAACTAGGACAGCTCAGTGCTTTCTCATCCAGCTCTCACCCGCAGGACAACAAATCAGAAGCAGACACAGAAGGAGTGCCCAGCACACCCACTGCAGAGGAGGCCGAACTAGCACAGCTGAGACCTCGGAAAACACACACTGGCTCTGGGATGGGGACAGCATCCTGGGGGAGCCTTTGGGAGATGCAGGAAGTGGACTGAGAGGAGAAGGAAGCCAGGAGACACTGGGGAGGGAGAGGCAGGGTCCGGGCTGGGAACGGGGACACTCCACAAGCCTTATACTGTGTGAACTTGCAAAAAAGCCTAAAACTATAAATGGCTGTGTTGAATGAAGAAAATAAATTGAATGAAAAATTTGTAAATTCTGCTTCACTGGTTCGCCTGTGTCTTAGTCACTTCTCTCGTTGCCGACACAAAAGAGCTGATACCCAAAGTGAAAGGAGGAAAGGGTTATTTAGCTCAGTTTGCAGAGGTTTCACTCCATACTCGGCTGGCTCCAAGGCAGGGGGGCACGGCAGAGGGGCGTCACAGAGGAGAAACAGTCCATGGCAGGCAGAAGAGGGCAAAGCCACATCCTTCCTGTCCTTATATCTCAGCCAGGCTACTTAGGGCAGTGACACTCACACCCTTAATCCCAGCGCCCTTGATCCTAGCACTGCACCAGGAATCCATCCCAGTGCCACACACCCTGGATCCAGCCACCTCTGAAAAAGGCCAACTTTGACTGCATGAGGCTTTGGGGGACATCCAGACCCCAACCATAACAACTTGTCATTTATTATCAACGTGTGGCCATCATTAAACCCAATTCTTTTTTTTTTTTCCTCTTTGGTACTGGGAGGAAAACTGGGCTTTGAACCCTAGGCCTTCACACTGAGCTGTATTCCCCTTTTACCATTTTTGATTTTCAGACGTCTTGCTAAGTATCCTGGGGTGGGGGACTGTCCCACTTGAGATCCTCCTGTTTCAGCCTCCTAGAGGGCTGGGATTACAGGCCTGGACCACCACGCTCAGCTTCATCCTAACTCCTGAACGCCTGTCTTCTCTGTTCCACTGTAATATGGCTGCCGTTTCCTTGTCCCTGAAGTCAGCAACAATTTTACAGAGTCGCCATCCCTTTTCTCTCCCACCCTAATTTCCGACTCGCTGCAGATAACCCTCCAGCCCCCACTTGCTGACGGCCGGCCCTCAGGACGGCTCATCTCAGCGGCAGGTCCCAGGACTGGGTGAAGCGAGCCAGGCCTCCCAGGTCAGGGCCCGAAAGCCGGGGTGCCTGTGGGTGCCGGTCCCTGCACGCGGGGTCACCAGGCCTCGGGGAGGTCTTTTGCCTTCCCTTGGGGTGACTTCCCCTGTGAACACCTCCCTGGCCCCGACCTGCCTCCTCCAACCTAACCCCATGCTGGGTAACCCACCTCAGACCCTGCGCGCTCAGGAAAGGGTGTAGGGCGGAAAAGGCAGAGAGAGCAGGCGAGGAAGGGGCGAGGCCCAGGGACTTCAGGCTGGGCAGCCACAGCCCTGGATGCCAGAGTCTCAACCGATAAGAAAACTGCAGCCCTAGTTACACTTTCAGTTTCTCACACCAGAGAAACTATTCAGTATTTACACGTGTATCCTATTAATTTCACTTAAGTACATGGCCTCCATGTGCAGGCACTTAGCTGTAAATGTCTCTAGTTTCTCATTCTTTATAGCTGAGTAGTACTCCATTTTACAAACAAAACATCTTCTTTACCCAGTCTCCAGCTGATGGGCAATCGGGCTGTTTCCAAGTTTTAGCTATTACAGACTGTGCCGCTATAAACATAGGTGAGTATATATCGCTGTGGTACTATTCTTTTAATTCTTTTGGGAAGATACCCAGCAGGGATAATGCGAAATGGGAAGAAAAGACCCAAAGGGGACGGGAGAGTGTGAGGGGTAAGGGAAAGGAAAGTAGGGAAAAATAAATACGAGATAAGAGGAAAACGGAAACAAAGTCTTTGTAGACAGGGAGGGGTGGGGGTGACGGGAGCACAGGGGAGTGGGGAAAAATAAGAACCAAGATACATACGTCATGTACAGGTACAAGAGCCCAACGACGATACTAAAACGCACCCACAAACTGCATGAAGAAAAAGCCGAGCAGGCTCTGGGCCTCGCCGCTGGGCTCTCTCCGCCCCGCGCACTGCGAAGCAGGGTCGCACTGAGGCGCTGCAGTGCCCACACTGGGCTCCAACTTTCGCTCCTCCTGCCTCAGCTTCCCAGACGGCTGGGATCTAGGGGTCCACCCCAACACCCCGCCAAGTTTCCAAGCGACGCCCTTAGAAGGGGCAGGGACGGGAAGGGCGTTCTCAAATCCCGCTGGCAGCG